GGCTGACTGGTACAGAAAGATCTGCAGAAACAGCAGCGCTGAAGGGGCAGGCCAGCTGGCCCTGAGGTGGCACCACTGCCTGGTACAGCGGTTCCCCCAGGCTGGGGCACTGCGTAATGACTCCAGCTCCACCGCACACCAGCACTGTGAACCTGGGCAAGCTCCTGGGCCTCACTGAGCCTCGGTTTCCCCATCTATAATAAGACAGAGGTCAGAACACCTACCTAGCTGGACGCCAGAAGAGGCCCCAGTCCTTAAAGCTTCCCCTAAACACAAGCTGGGCCCCGTCCCCTATCCCCTCCAGATCTGGCAGGGGTAGGGCGCTTGGGCCCTCAGCTCCACCCTCACCCAGCTGGGCCCTGGGAAGAGGGGCAGGGTAAGCGGCCCTCCCAGGGAGTCTCAGGCTGGGGTTGGGGGGAAGGGGCCTCCAATCCCAAGAGGGGCCTTAGAGGGGCGGTGCGGGCAGGGAGGCGGGAGCGGGAGAGAATCCACCGGGGAGGCATCCTGAATGGCTCATTAGTGCCGATGAAAGCCTTTTTTCATTGCGTCTAAATACTTTAAACAGGGCTCCCTCCGATGTCTATTTGCATAGCTTAAGAGCTAATGCGGGGGGAGGGCCCAGGCGGCGGCGGGGCCAAGCCAGGGCTAGGGGCTGCAAGCGCGGGGAAGTTCCTGGCGCGCGGGGAGGGAAAGGGTGTTTCCCGGACCCAGCCCACTTGGAGGAGGCAGCCCCCAGCCCTGCAGGAGAGGAGGACCGAGCTACAAGGAGTGAGTGCATCCTGTGTTCTGGCACCAGGTGGGCCTGGCAAGTGGGGATCATGGGGGACGATCTTGCTGCGGCCCACCACTGCGTCCCCCACAGACATGAGGGCCTTGAAGGCCGCCGCCCTTTGCACGGTGCAGTGTTGTCCTTGTTTTATGGAGGAGGTCTTTGACATCCTCAGGGTCATACATGCTGCCACCCAACATGGAACATGGGTGGTTCCTCCAGAGAAGAGACCCCTACCTGCCAGGGACCAACTCCTTCCTACCCTAGAAGCCTGTCTCAGTATTCCCCTGACAGGGGCTGCCCAACCTCTGAGTGTGGCCTTCTCCCTTAGCCTTCAGAACTCTGCTATTCAGAACATGCAGATTCCCACAAAACCCTTCCAAAGTGCCTTTTTTGTTGTTGTTATTATTGAGATGGAGTTTTGCTCTTGTTTCCCAGGCTGGATTGCAAAGGCGCGATCTCAGCTCACAAGAACCTTTGCCTTCCGGGTCCTGCCTCCGCCTCCCAAGTAGCTGGGATCACAGGCATGCACCACCACACCAGGCTAATTTTGTATTTTTAGTAGAGACGAGGTTTCTTCATGTTGCCCAGGCTGGTCTCAAACTCCGGAGCTCAGATGATCCACCCACCTCAGGCTCCCAAAGTGCTGGGATTATAGGCTTAGCCACCACACCCAGCCAAAGTGCCCAATTTATAGCTAGGAGGCGAAGGCTCTGAGAGGCAACTTGCCTGGCTCGCAAGACCTTTAAGTGGCAGAACTGACACTTGAACCTAGGTCTGTGTGTGGCTCTGTGCCATGGCCCCGCAGAGCAGTGTCGCTGGGTTCTAGGCTCAGATGCGCTTCAGGCCAGGTGGGGAGGGGTTTCCCTGGGTCCCAGCCAGAAGGCTTCCTGAGGGCCTGCTCAACCAGCGCCCAACCCAATCAAGTCCCAGATGCCAGAAGCTCTGGCCTCAGACTTCTAAATGGTGTGAGATCTTGGACGAGTCCGTGCCTCTCCCTGGGCTTAGTTTCTTCAACTGGCTGGAGTGTTCTCTGCTGTTTAACTCCAGCCTCTTCCTCCCATGAGGCAGGTAGGTGCGTAGAAAGACCTAGGGCTTTGAAGCCAGATCAACGCAGGTTTAAGTCCCAGCCGCATCACTGCGAGACTTCAGGCGAGTCCTTGCCTCACCTCTCTAGGCTTCAGGTCTTTGTAAAGTGGGAATAAAATTCCCATCTCCCAGAGGTGCAGCATCCAGTAAATGATACAAGGTCTGGGGAGGGCCTGACACAGTAGTGCCTGATAATACTGGGCATTGGAGCCCCTGACACCTTCTTGTTCTGTCCCCTGTATCATACTCACCCTTTGTCAGTCCCTGTACCCCTGAAATCCATCAGCCCAGGCAGAGAGAAAACCCTATCTCCTGGCCACAATCCTGGGAAACTAGGGGGCAGGTCTCAGGGCCTCAGGCCTCCGACAAAGTCAACCAGGGGGTCTGGAGATGCCCTCTCCCCAGAAATGTCTTCTCTCCCAGAGGATATCTTACCCTCTCTGAACTGACAATGGGTGGCACCTTCTGGTACCAAGTGGCAGCTGATTTTAGAATGAATTTGCTCGTTTGATATGCTATCTCGATCCCACTTAACCAAGTGCTCGGTCCCCCCAGATAACACAATCAGTGCAATCGACAGTGAACGGAGGTACCCATTAGCACCGCTCCGTTGCTCAGCACCCACCTCGCAGCCAGCAGGAAGAGCTGTGCCCGCTCTGGTCGCTTCCTGAATTAGAGGATCTCTGTGCTCTCTCTCTCTCCCAGGGAAGAATCCCACAGCTACCTACTCTGAGAGCCAAGGGCCACATCTTTTGTTGGGTACTCTGGAAAGGGGCCACCTAAACCATCCCTGGCTCCAGGGGGCTCCAGTCTATGTGGTTAGAAAAGCCCCCCTTCCTTTTGTGCCATGCTAGAATCAGTCTCAGCTTACCTGGCAAAGCCTGTGTGACATCTAGGGGTGGGGCAGGCAAAAAGAGAAGCCCTGTTCTGGCATGTCACAGGCACTGCCTGGACCTTCCATAACTGATTCAGATGAAAGACAGGCACTGGTGAACCATCTGCTCTGGGGGGTATGGGCCTGGCTGGACATCCAGATTGGACGGTGTTGTCAGTGCCTGGCACACAATGCCAAGACACATGTGGGCTGCTTTAGTGGGCATCTCAGGAGATAGTGGTTGGTCCTGGTTTTTCAGGGCTGCAGGGTGCCCAAGCTCCTCTGACCCAGAAGAATGGAGAGCCCTCCAACCTGTACCCGCTCCCCCACCCAATTTCCTCCCTCCTCCCATTTGTCTGACACATCAGAGCTGCTATGGTCTCCTGAACAGAACGTAGGCCATCTGCTGCTTCCTCACGCCTGCCAATCTATGGAGTGGGTGTGAGCCTGTGGAATGACAGCCCCACCACCAGACGTGCGGAGGAAGCGACCTTCTCCTTGCAAACTCTGTTATCTCACCCCGGCTGTGTTTCCCTTCAAGTCCTCATGCAGCCATTTTGAGAGCTGTAAAGATCAGAAATATCCTCCCAGGCTTCTCAGAGCTGGCAAAATTGTGTATGAGCTGAATCTGGAGCCAGCATTCATTGACCTTTTCTTGGCAGTTAAGGATCTGGGGAGCCGAATGGGCCACAAGCAGAATATGCATCATTTCTCCAGCTATGTGGTTGAATAAGTCAACATAATCAGTAGCAAAGCAATCTGTACCTCAGACCAGAGACAGCAAGTAAGTTTCATCCCCCAGAGCCAATCTAATTGATTGGTAGTGGCTGCCTGGATAACATTGTTGAGAAGGAAGTTGCTAAGGCCCATGTGGTCTTGGCAAAAAATAACCAAAATTGATTAGCAATGCCTGCCATGGATTAGGGGGTGGGTGGGTAGCATGCTAGATTTCCATTCTACACCTGTTTTTGATCTTGCCCTAGATGGAACCTGACTAGTGTCACCAGAAAGATTAAGGAAACTCAGGGGGACATATTAAATAAAGAAGGGAGGTAGTATTATCTCAGTCAATCCTAAAAAGGAAACCCAGTTTTACAGATGAGAAAACTAAGGTTCAGAGAGTTTGAGTTATTTGCCTGAGGGCGCACAGCCCTAGAGTAGTGGATCTGGGATTTGAACATCTGCCTAGCTCCAAAACTTGGCTCTTCTCACTCTACTCATGTTACTGCTCTAGAAGGACCATAAAAACAGAAAAGGGTACAAAAGAAATATTTCCTAAGAACTGAGAGAAATAGGACCTAATGAGCCCCTAACAAAGAAGTCATACACCCATGGCTGGGTGCGATGGCCCATTCCTGTAATCCCTAGGAGGCTGAGGTGGGAGGATTGCTTCAGCCCAGGAGTTTGAGACCAGCCCAGGCAATGTAGTGAGATCCCATCTCTACAAAAATTTTAAAAATTAGCCGGGCATGGTGGCATGCACCTGCAATCCCAGCTACTCAGAGTGGGGGTATCGGGAGTGTGGCTGAGGTGGGAGAATCACTTGAACCTGGGAGGTTGAGGCTGTAGTGAGCCATGATCGTGCCACTGCATTGCAGCCTGGGCCACAGAGCGAGACCCTGTCTCAAAAGAAACAAATAAAAAAAGAAGTCATGCAACCATGAGGAAATCTAAAATAAAATCCCACATATGTGACGCATTTCCTGAGGCTAATGACTAGCAGGTTCACTGAGAACAGGAAATGAACTTGAATGCCCTATCATCTCAGGCAAGAAAGACACTGTGGTGGGAGACACACTCACTCTCACTTAAGGTTCTCATCTCAGTTCAACCGGTCGCGTGACTTTGAGTAAGTCACTTCCTTTCTCTGGCCTATTTCCTCATTAGCAAAATAAGGCTTTTGCTCTTCATTAGGGATGGCAAATATTTGTCAGGTCAGTCTGAGTTGTCAGGTGTGACCACCTGGAGTGCGGTGTTGAGAAGGATTCTGAGGCTGAACCTGAGAACAGTAGGAAACGGTGCACGGATGGGCTAGAAATGTCTGCCTCTAGTGCTGGAGGAGAAAAAGTATCTCATGTGCCATCCTTGAAGTATGCGATTGCGTCTCACTTCCAGCTCTCAAATTCTGTAGTTCTGTGAGTCTCGGCAGTGAGCATACTTCCCAGGGCTCTCTATCAAAAGAGAGCTGGTTCCCCCACTGCTCAGGCTGGGTGTGATGATGCTTTCTGGAGCAGGGGGAGAACCTCTGACCATCCCTTGTTATTTCAGGACTCCCTTCAGAGGCCCCAACCATGAGGAAAGGACAAGCCTCAGGCATTGAGGAGGCAGATGGCGAGCTGACAGCAGCCCCCACACCTGAGCAGCCAGAACGAGGCGTCCACTTTGTCACAACAGCCCCCACCTTGAAGCTGCTCAACCACCACCCACTGCTTGAGGAATTCCTACAAGAGGGGCTGGAGAAGGGAGATGAGGAGCTGAGGCCAGCACTGCCCTTCCAGCCTGACCCACCGACACCCTTTACCCCAAGTCCCCTTCCCCGCCTGGCCAACCAGGACAGCCGTCCTGTCTTTACCAGCCCCACCCCAGCCATGGCTGCAGTACCCACTCAGCCCCAGTCCAGGGAGGGACCCTGGAGTCCAGAGTCAGAGCCCCCTGTCCTTCGAATCACAGCTCCCCTACCTCCAGGGCCCAGCATGGCAGTGCCCACCATAAGCCCATGGGAGAGGCCCAGCACTACACCCCCTGGCAGAGCCTGGACACCAACCCAGGAGGGTCCTGGGGACATGGGCAGGCCATGGGTTCCAGAGGTTGTGTCCCAGACCACAGGGATTGGGATCCAGGGGATCATCGCCTCCTCCACAGCTTCAGGAGATGATGAGGAGACCACCACTACCACCACCATCATCACCACCACTGTCACTACAGTCCAGCCACCAGGTCAGCTACCTGCTGGCTTGCAGATGTGGAAATAGGGATGAGGGGGGCTGTGGGGCCCACACTGTCTCTGACACTGTGCCAACCTGCCCTGCCCTTTGGCACCACGGGCCGGCCTGCAGGAGGCATATGGATTGGGCCCAGATAGACCCAAGTTCAAATCCTGACTCTTCAGCCAGGTGTGGTGGCTCATGCCTGTAATCCCAGCATTTTGGGAGGCCAAGGCCAGTGGATCACCTGAGGTCAGGAGTTCAAGATCATCCTGGCCAACATGGCGAAACTCTATCTCTACTAAAAATACAAAAATTAGCCGGGCGTGGTGGTGGGCACCTGTAATCCCAGCTACTTGCGAGGCTGAGGCAGGAGAATCACTTGAGCCCAGGAGGCGGAGGTTGTAGTGAGCCCAGTCTGGGCAACAAGCGAAACTCTGTCTCAAAAAAAAAAAAAAAAAAAATCTTGACCCTAGGAATTTCACTTAACATCTCATCTCTGAGCCTCATCTGTAAAATGGCAATAAGAAAACAAACCTCACTGAGCCACTGTGAGAACTAAGATAAGATTGTTCATGGTAGGTGCCTAATAAAAGGTGGTCCCCTTCTTTTAACAGAGGACTAGACATCCAAGAGTGGTCTGCACCACACACACACACACACACACACACACACACACACACACACGGTTCAGTCTTAACTGGACCACTTCACCAGAGCTGGCACTAGCTTTGTGTCTCCTCCTGCCTCCCAGGCCCTTGTAGCTGGAATTTCTCAGGCCCAGAGGGCTATCTGGACTCCCCTACAGCCCTCAGCTCACCCCCTGATGTCGGCCTGGACTGCTTCTTCTACATCTCTGTCTACCCTGGCTATGGCGTGGAAATCAAGGTGAGTGACCTGGATCTGGTAAGGGCAAAGCTGGTACTGGTGTATTCTCGTTCTTCAGAGAGGTGCGTGCTATGAGAGGATGTGGGGATGCTTCGGGGCATCAGTTGGAGGGGATTGCTTAAGGCCAGGGCTGGGAGATAGGCCTGAAACATGGTTGAATCCTGTCCCGTGTGCTTGACAATGCCCTAGACCGAGAGGGGTTGTGGCTGGTCAGGGGTTGGGTGAGTATAAACCTGCACCTGAATCTTTGGGCTGAGCAGAGAACACAGGGCTGCCTCGTTGGGCCTGAGAGAGTCATGGAGCCTTATTCATTCATTCAGCAAATCCTCTCTGAGCAGCTTCTCCAGGTGAGGTCCTGTGCTGGCTCCTGGGATGCGGAGGTGGGGGAAGACAGACCTGACCACACCATCAGAGAGGTGATCAGCTGATAGGGAAGTCAGATCTACAGTCCAGCCTCCTGTCCTCAGCCTCCCTGGGCTATCTTATCCCTCCCTTAGGATTAAGACTTTCTCTTAATCCCAAAGCCTGAGGCTGCAAGTCCTCACAGATATCCCACAGCCTCATCAACCTCCACAAACCCAAGTCTTCCTTTTTGTTCCCCCAAACCACTCCTGTCCAGATCAGAAACCTGGAGCAGAGCCACCACAGTGCAATGAGGATGGATCCCTGGGGCTGTGCAATATGGGGTCACCCTGGCCCTTCCCTGTCCCTCTTCCCCCAGTCCCATCAATTCATCCCCAAATTCTGTCACCATGACACTCCCCTCTAAATATGTCTGCTCTTCTCCCTCCATCCGCATAACCACATGTAGTCTAGCACCCCCAATCCCTCCCTTGATGATGTAGTAGCTGCCTCACTGGTCACCCCACCCACACTTGCTCCCTACTACCCATCTCCACCTCCACTGCTATCATTTTTCTCAAATCAGTCCTGCTCCCTACACCTCTCAAGGGGCCGCTGAATCAAGGTCAGTCTCTCTGGGTCTACCCCTAGCCACTTCTTCCCTTATTCTTTACCTTCACTTGGCACTGAACAACTTGCAGCTAACTCAATGGGCCAGACCTTCTTTCCCAAGTCCCAACTGCACATGCTAGTCCCTCTGCCTGGAAGTCATCCCACGATGCCCTCCCTTAGGACATGACCCTGGCATCACCCTCTCTGGGAATTCCCTCAGATCCCCAAAGCCTGGGGCATCCCCTATCTTAGCTCTGAGCAGTCTGCCTTCCATCCATCTGTTTACACAGCCGTCCACCTCCCCAGCTAGACTATGAGCTCCTGAGGGGTGCCTTGTGCAGAGCCCAGATGGGTACTCCATGGACTGACTGAATGCCCAGACAAAGGAATGGAGGAAGGAAGGGATGTGGTGACCTTTGACTTGGATCTTGGAGACTGACCAGGGGTGGGCCAGAGAGGCATTCAGCCCGGTGGAGGGAATCTGGCAGGGTGCCCAGAAGTTTGTCCTGCTCCCTGTTCCCTGCCTTCTGTTCTGCTTCCCACCCATTCCAATTCCTGCCTGTCCCTGGATTTGGGCCTGGAGCTGTCTAAACCTGTCCTGGGGCAGTGCCTCTAGCACTCCCCTCTGGGGATGTCAGGTCCAGGTCTCTGAATCAGACCCTGTCTGGGAGGACCCTCTCCTACCCCTGTTGCGCCCCTCCCCTTCTTCCTACAACTGTTTCCTCCTACTCTGCCAAGCCCTGTGCCCCTCACTCTGGGCTGACTGGGAGGGTAATTAGGAACAGTGACTCCCCCTCTCAAGCCATTAGCACTCAGCACCGCTTAATTAAGGTAATTAATGTAAAATCATCACCTAATGAGAGGTGGCACCGGCTGTGGCTCACTGGGTGGAAGGCACCAGCTGCAGGTGTGGGAAAGGGGGTGGGAGGGGGCAGGTGCCGGGCTGGGTGCCCCCCTGCAGGCCTGGGAGGCTCTGTCTTTCCCCCAAGCCTATCACCCCTACCGAAGCCCACTGGACCAGGCTGAGCCCAGCCCTGGTATCCTCTCCAATGGGGCAAGATGCTGGCTCTGCTTGCCCCCAACTCTGACCCAGGCACAAGCTCCACGCTGGATGCCCACCCCCTCACACAAGCCCCGTGTCTGTTGTCTGGTGCTGCCATGGTTTTTTTTTTTTTTTTTTTTTTTTTTTTTATCAGAATGCAAAAGCTGTTACCAGGCAACCTTGAGACGAAGACCTGCCACAGCCCTGGGTTGCTGTCAGGAAATGTGGCAGACTTGGGTCCCACCCTCCACCTCGGCGCCATGGGGGCAGGGTCCTTGGGGACACAGTCATCCCAGCAGGCCTAGATAGTCTGAAGCTTTGGAGGGGAGGGGGTCACAGGGTGGCCAGAGCTGAGCCAGCAGCCAATTTGGGGAAGAAGCAAGAGACAGAATCAGCCAGAACTAAGCAGGATTGAAGGTACTTCTTCCAGGGCCAATTCTGGCAAGCCCCCCCCCCGCCCCCGCCCAGCCCACCCGACCCAGGCCACTTGGGACCTGAAGAATTTCTGACACTACACACCAATACCCACTGGAGAGTCGGAAAAACTGAGGCCCAGGCAAGAAAAGGGATTTCCCTAAAGTCGGTCAGTTAATCACGAACCAGTGAATTTTGCTGAGAGGATTTGTTCCATAAGCGTACGTTGAGAATTTGCTATGTGCCACACTCTGTGCTGGGCTCTGGGGACACAGACCTTCATGGTTAGTAGGGAAGACAGAAATCATAAACAATGACCACAGAGCACCAGTGCTGGCGGAAATGGGGATGGGAAGCACAGGACAGGCACACCCCACCAGCCTGGGAGTCAGGGAAGGCTTCCTGGAGGTGATGACACCCGGCCTGAGGCCTGTAGGATGAGAAGCCAGCAGCCACGCCCGGCCTGGGCAGCAGCAGGTGTGGCACGCCTGGCCCTTGAAGGCTGCCCTGGCTGTTTTAGAAAGGTGGCTCTTGTGTAGGGGCAGAGAGTAAGGCCAAGGGCTGCCAGAGGTTCAGCCCAAGAGCAGTGCCCTTCTGCCCAGGCTGACAGTTGGGTCAAGCCATGCTGGACACTGGGGGCAGGATAGGTGGGCAGCTGGAAGGCCTACAGTGCTGCCCATGGCTCCTCAGACTTGGGGAGAAGGGACTGCCTGTGGCTTCTGTCATGGAGAATTCCCCACCTGCCCCTCCATGAATTCACTGGGATCACTCAGGGCAGGTAGGTGGGACAAAATCTGGGCAAGGAGAGTGGCAGGAGCCATGGAGGAGAGGACTGTCTTAGGGACCCACACATCACCCCTGAGCAAGGCAGCCAGACACCATGCTGGGCCCCTAGCATGAGACCACAGCCCATGCCTAAATTCTGGGGCCTTGAGCCAGACCCTCTCAATTCCCCTTTTTTTGGAGGACCAGCCTCAGTGGTACTAGAATCCCTAAAAGCCCTACTCTGCATGGCTTGGACCATAGCCTCTCATAACCTGCTTCATCCCCTGTCTCCCACGTCCTTTGATGGTGCTGCAGTTATTGATGCCCTCTGAGGACAAAGATCTGAGCCACCCACAGGGAGGAGGCCAGGTCAGGCCCTCTATGATCCAACGGGACTTGCCTACTTGCCTACTTCCAAGGGTATCAGCATTGGGCTAGGCTCTTTCTTTCTTTCTTTTTCTTTCTTTCTTTCTTTCTTTCTTTCTTTCTTCCTTTCTTTCTTTCTTTCTTTCTTTCTTTCTTTTTGAGACAAGAGTCTCACTCTGTTGCCCAGGTTGGAGGGCAGTGGCACAGTCTTGGCTCACCGCAACCTCTACCTCTCGGGTTCGAATGATTCTCCTGCCTCAGCTTCCTGAGTAGCTGGGATTACAGGTGCACGCCACCACGCCCGGTTAATTTTTGTATTTATAGTAAAGACGGGGTTTCACCATGTTGGCCAGGCTGGTTTTGAACTGCTGACCTCGTGATCCTCCCACCTCAGCCTCCCAAAGTGCTGGGATTACAGGTGTGAGCCACCATGCCTGGCCATGCTAGGCTATTTCTTGAAAGATCCAGAGAAGCCCCTTCAGGATGGGTGAGCATAAGCCCCATGGCCCATGTGGGTCCTATCCCCTCCCCAGGCAGCCAGTCTCCCCCTGAGGGCTCCAGGCCTTTCCAGGCCTGGCGCCTGCCTCTCTCTGCACTTGGCATTCCAAGAGCCTTCCCACTGCCAGCCTCCATCTTGGCTTGGCTGCTCTCTGTACCATCTGGAGCCTGGGCACAGCTGCCCATAGTCCCTGCCCTCATGCCCCAGGTGGTCTGTTAGCACATAGCTTACCCATGCCAGGCCAGCTGTCAGTTTGATGGCCGGAACACCCTCCCCTTCTAAGTCAGGTCAGAACCAGGACTGATGTGGGCATGGGATAGGGAGTCAGTGGGGTGGAATTTCTGGGCAACTTTATATTTCCTGGCTCTAGGCAGGCTCATCCAAGAGGCATGACGAGGTGCAGGCAGGTCTGGCCCCATGGATTTTGGCCACTCTCCTCATCCCTAAAACAGACCTTACCCCATACCATTTTCTGGATGAGTGCCAGTTCAGAAGGGCACAGAGGCTGTCTTGTAGGACTGGGCTTTCAGTGTGGGCTCTGTAGCCTACCTCTCTATGACTGGGCTAAACCCTTGGCCTTCTCTAGGCCTCAGTTTCCCTCTCTATGAAAGGAGATTGAAGCAGATGATGCACCAGGCTCCGGCTAGTCAGTGCCTTTGAATGTGGGGTCAGCAAGCTCCCTCATAGGCCTGACCGAGCAGGGGCAACTCAGGCTCTTGGCTCTGCTGCTTGCTTGGCTGCAGAGCCTGGCCAGGGAGAGGGTGGCTCCAAGGTACAGTGCCTCACAAGCAAGCGCTGGCAGACCTGAGGGTAAAGTAAGTTCACAGCCAGCTATCATTCCTGCTGCACGGTGCGGCCCACATCTCCCCATTAAACGGAAAGATGACTGCTAGCGCTGTGCTCCTCCCTGCTGAACCCCTTACTGGCAGGATCTAACCAAATCCTCACAAACCCATGAAG